TATAACTTACTCAAATGCTGTTTAATATTTACCAACTGTACGAGTTAGGGAAAGAGAGCTATCTCTGTCTAGACAACTATGTGCTGGTATGAGTAAAAGAATCAAGTGATTCTTCAATTTATTACTTTATTTTGCCAACACAAAATTTGCTCCTAAAATGCAGAGGTGCAAGGATGATGTCATAACATTAGTCACTCGGCAATATTCATTGATAAAATGAATGTTTGAACAAAGTTGAGGATCATCACATACGCTCTGTTATCTGGTATCTCCTACTAATGGTTTAAATATAACCTTTAAGCTGAAACTAAATAGGCGGGGACAAAAATTATCTGGTTTCTTAATGTTATTTTTTTAGATTATAAATGCTAAAGCAACTCTGTCTGTTATGCTTTCACGGCTAATCCGCTCAACCGACTTTAATGAAATTTTCCATGGAGATACTTTAATTGTTGAGGAAGGACATGGACAACTTCTTACTTTTTACTTAAAACGCGGTCGGAGCCACAGGCAAAAGCTAGTAATAAATAAATATAATTCTACCATAATTAGTTACTCTTTGTTTTAAATATTTGTAATTTCTATGATTTTTTTAAGTGTTAAAAAGCTGTTAAGACATGCTAGAGACCATTATTCTGTGTTAAGCTTAAGTTATTCATTTTGGATGGAAGTGTTGCAAAAAGTGTCAGGGATGTGTGTCATAGCAAGGTCTTCTGGATTTCTTTGGGGCATATCCTTCTTAAGGGATTCCGAGTTTCTTAGACTTTCTGTCTTTTTAGGGTTCCGTGCCTCAAAAGAAAAAAAGCTTATAGGAATAAGCGTTCTGTTCAACAACAAAGTGATCCTTCACTTTGTTGTTCGTCTGTCTGTCTGTCTGTCCGTTCGTATGTCTATCTGCCCGTCTCTCTGTCAAGTCCCTTTATATCGTGCACCCGTTTAGGTATCGAGTTGAAATTACAACCCAGGTAATCAACAGGTACTTTCCGTTGACCCAGAACTATGAAATTTGGCAAGTAACATCATCTTATACTACAAGTTCAGGGAAAATCTGAAAACTATACATACACTTGTAATTAAATCATAAAAAATGTAGTCTTTATTTAAAGCACTTACAGTCACAGAGGTACAGTTTCACTTATAAAACACAATAATATATTATTGGGTTTTAATAGTGAAATTCAATTCAGTTCAGTTCAGTTCAGTTCTTTCTGAATTTCGGGAAAAGCTCGAAAAAACTGTGGGACTCGATTCCTGAACTATTTATAATATGTAAACCTACAAAATTTTACGAAACCCTCGGTGGGTGATTCCAAATCGCACTTGTTTGGATTTTAAAACTAAAAAAACAAGCTTTGTAATTTTACGACTATTCTAAAAATATATGGTTGAATTGTTTATCGATTAAACGTATATTTAATTTCTTATTATTATAATTTTTTATTATTTTAAAAAAGACAACTAGCGCACTAAGAATAAATCCTGTGTTGCGGGGGACTTTACAAACATACCTAAAACGGTCACAAAGTACACCCGATCGTCGATTTTGGGTATGCATCACAAAGATCAATAAGTAAATACGAACGCAAATATATCATGTCACCAACACACCAACAGCCTATAACAGTCCACTGCTGGACATAGGCCTCTCCTTAGAAAGGAGATTTTGGCCTACTATACCACGCTGGGCAAACGGGTTGGTATAGGGTTTGTTTCAAGTTTTCCTTCTCTTAGCAGTGCTGTAGTCCTGCGTAGTTTGCTCCCTTATATATCATGTAAGTGGGACTAAATAACACTTGTCAAAATGTCGGTGTTTAAATGCCTCTATTTCGCCTTCGAAAATTCATTTATGTGTGTATATGTATCATGTATGTAAAATGTATCTTTAATAACATTTCTTGTTTTTCAATCAAACACGCATCTTTGCACCGCAACGCAAAGCAAACGATTTCTAACTCGTTCTATTTCGCCCCTAGAGACGAAAATACTGTTTACAAATTAATCACTGTGTACCAGGGATGCTGGACTCACTCGATGTGTGGCCTAAACATGTCTTATATTATTTCGTTAATGTGTTTCGCAAATATTCCTCAACTATAAATTACGATCGAGAAATTAATTCACATCTATCATTATGTCAACCGGAAACATTTGCGCTAGTCGATCCTCTAGTCGACCTAGTTCTAGAAAGGTCTTGCAATTTATCATACCCAAATTTTGTAATTTATCATAGTTATGTTTCAACATAATGTTTAATATTATAATATAAATTGTATTTTAAATATTTATTGACTTTAAATTTCATCGTATATACATACAGACACGCATATAAAACCCGAAGGGTGAGTGTAGAGGCATATTAAAGGCATATATTTTGCTGAGCTCTCCTGTCCCCCTCAAGTATTAAGGGCTTAGGGTTTCGGTAACTTCACTGACTTGGTCAAAAGCAACGAGGCCGTGGTATCATTGTAGAGTAAGCCTCCCACGATTTTGGAAGGTCTTATCAAAGGTGTATATCTACTATTTTTAATCAAACTTACGTCATCACACATATCAACAGCCCATAGTAGTCCACTGCTGGACATAGGCCTCTCCTCAGAAAGAACCAGATGGGTTGGTATAGTAGGAGTTTGTATCAAGTTTTTCTTCTCTTTGCAATGCTATTGTCCTGCGTAGTTTGCACCCTTAGTCGGCTCTTACGACACCCGCGGGTTGAATAGAGGTTGTGACACTCCGTATTATTAATCCGTCACCACATGTATTATGGGGGGCACCTAATGCCGTTAACTGGGCATTTAGGGGGAGTTTAAAGAGAAAATTGGGAGTTGAATATGAAAGGGGTATCGGTTACACGGATGGATGGATGAAAGGAGACTGTGAGCAATAGGCTGTCTGTTGTCGGAAAGTCAAAGCCGCAAAGTTCTTGGGATCTGTAGCTTAAAGTAAATCATATTGTTTTGCAGAAATTTTATTGGTGTTTTAGCAGATATGAGGTTTAAAACGAGTTCAGGTTCTACAGCAATTTTGCAAACTTAAATTATGTTTAAACAGGTGTCTTTTTAAGCAATGTTATTCTTAACATTTTTGCCTTCTATAGAATCACGTCAACGTCGTTTATTTTTGTACATGTAGGATGAGCTGTTTATATTAAAACACTGTTCATTTTGCCAAGATGTTAATATAAGCAAATCCTTTTTTCTAGCTTTGGAAGAAAATGAGAATGTTTATGTTCAAATAAAATTTTCCATCAATTCTTTCTTACGAAGTCCAAAAAATCTACTAAGTATTCTAGGTATTTAATATATTCTGACGTTGGTAAAACGCAGAACCACCTGCACTGTATCAACAAATTGCAAAAACTTAATTGTAAACAGCCGACAACAGATTTATATACAAGCTGTCAAAATTTCAACCGTTTCTCAGACCGTATGTCGAATAGTAGGTAAATTATTATCGTTGAAACATTGCGATGATGCTATCCATGGGTGGGAGGGGCTGGCCTTCTTATCTAGATGAACGAACTCTTTATTTTTAGATCTTTCTTTAGCACCTGTTCAGTTCGCGAACTTTTAGTGCGAGGCGACGCGGTAGTGGCTCTAACAGGTACCTTACGACAATTTTGCTATATCTCCTGTAATTTTCAATTTGTTTGTGATTCTTTTTCTTTCCATTTTGAAGTGAATGCGACTACTGTTTGTAATTAAACCAACTGCTGAACATACCTTATATTTAAAAAATCCAAGTAATTAATCAAAGATATTTTGTAATTATTGTTTTTGATTCAAATAATGGTGGCAATGTACTATTTTTTTACTTACCTTTTGCTTTAGCTTCTAAGTTGTAAAAGATAGGTTATTATCTTACAGTAGTAATTTAATTAAATGTAAATTTATTTCATTTAATTTTAAATGTAACAGTTTCGCGACAGTTATTGATTTTTTTATATAACGGCAGTTATTACGTTTTTCTGACTAATATGTGAATTATTTGGGTGCTGATCAATCTTGATTAGTAATGAAAGATATCTTCCATTTCAAGTTCAGCGCGTAGGTCAGTTCGTATCTAACTATAAATAAATGCGTCTGTGTACAAAAACAAACACAATATCAGGTACAGATGTTTCTTTGTAATTTGGTCGCAATTTTTGTTTACGGAATTTTCAATGAGTGTTGATTTCATGTGCTAATTAGATGTTTAACAAAATAAAGATTGGACAAACTCAAAATAATCATTTTTCTGGACCCATTATTTTAAGTAACAAGAAAATAACAAGTATTTTTAAATTCTAAATCTCATTTACATTTAGTGCTTACTACACGCAAACATACGTAGGACGTCCTGACGATGTTATACACTGAGATAGACGTTGTAATAAGATGGTGCGCATGCACTGACAGTGTTGCGTGCACGTGCACGTAACTAAACAATTAGTAGAAAGGGCCTTAGATTGAGAGGTAATAATTCAAAAATTGAGTGTAATTCTAAATACATTTTAAAATCCTTACAAATATTTGGGTTACAGGTTATTTTTTTGTAATTTGTCCTTTTTTTTTGTGAACTTATGAATGTAAACTGTCTTTTATCGCTACAATAATGTCATGCTCAGTTTTAGACAAACGGTCTATATAGTCTATCATCTTTGGCCTCTTGCGTCTGTTCGACGAGACGTTTTAGTCATTGACCCGTAGCCATACACTTGATTCGAGGCTATGTAAGTCAATTCTAGAGCAACAGGTTATACCGCACTCTTTGCAATAAAAACTATCGGTTTGTGGATTGTTGTATAGGAGTACAAAAATATGTAAACTAACGCATCCTTAAATTTGGAAAAATATCGAAATTTAATAAAGAAAATACAAAGATGTTATTTTCAGATTTATTGTTAGGAATTAAATTCTTTAATTTGTCTCTAAACGTAAATATTTTAAACTATGTATAATAAAAGATATTGCAATTGCATTTTCATTGATATAATTTTTAACAATAAATTTCTTCTTTTCCAGATATGGCTGTCGACGGAGTGGGCAAAACTAAAACTGACAAACCATCTTTTTACATAAAAATAATTTACCAGTTAATATACCCATATATGTCGTCTAAATAGTTATATATTTATACAATTTTACAGCCATTTAATAATAATCGAATTAAACCAAATATTGACGATATCATTTCATATATTAAACAATAAAAGAACAATAAATTAAAATTCATTTAAGATTTAATAAATTATTTCTTTAATAATTTTGCTTTAATTAATGATAATGTTTATCAATTTTTATTAATATTCATGGCAAGCATGTGTGATGACGAATAATAGTGGTGATTTTATGGTGGTGACGGGTAGAGTGGCGGCTCTAAACGTTATTTACTATGAAAACACCGTATATTTGATTGATGAATATAATTGGCTGTGAATATTAATGAACTTTGATACGTCAAAACTAAAGTACGATTTAGAAGAACAATCTGCAACATAAATAATGTAAAAAAAGATTTCCTATAGGTAGGATCATCAGATGTTCATTCGCATCACGTGTTAATTTACTTTTTTATTCAGAAGTTTTTATCCAAGCTATGGGCACGAACTTTTTTTATAAATTACAAAAACCTGCAAACTTAATACCTAAAATCATGCTGTACGTAAATCTTCTTATCAACAGAGACGGGGCGCCACAGTCATTTCAAAGGCCTCAAAGTTATCAAGTTCAAAATCACCAACAAGGTGCTGCAGAACGAATTGGACGAGGCAGTCCTCAACCTTCACTTACAAGAGTTGGAAGCTCGTAACAGTACCGTAGACCCTAACGAGCACTTCACCATCACGCTGCAGGTCGGCAGGATCACCAGGAATAACCAGACTGGAAAAGCCTCGGTGCCTTATACAAATAACTCGTTGAAGATGACAAGAAGGGAGCTGAGAGCGGGTAAATGGTTGAAGATTAATGTAACCACGATGGTGGCAGAGTTCTGTCGACTGCCGCGGGAGAATTTAGCGATAGTTGTGAGAGTACAAGACTCGAAGAATAGGATGAGTTTGGTTGTGCCACATCCGAGCTCAGAATCAAATAACGGTTTGGTGAGTTTCTTTGTAGTTCGCAATACGAATTATTTTTAATCTAGCAGTAGGGTCCTCATCGAGTAACAAACATCTTTCACATTTGTAATAGTATAAACTTTATACATCACAGTTAATTTGTTTTCATATATATTTTCACCTACATTTGTCAAAATCTCAAGTTGAAAAAGCAAGAAAATACTCCAAAAAAATTATAATAGGTACATAACTTTGGATATTACCTCAACAAGGTTTTCGGTGGGTCGGCGTGTCGAAATTTAACACCGACTATAAACCATACACCATCTAAAATAGGAGGAATCTAGGAACAGCTGTTATAAAGACATTTTTACCCCTCCTAGCAGTATTTAACAAGCCTGCTTTCAGATATTTATTTCGCAGCGACATAATTAAAGTAATTTACACTTAAGATTTTGTATTTATTTACAGATGCCATACTTAGAAATAAGTCTAAAGGATAATGCCCACAAACGCACGAGGCGTACCACAGGAATGGACTGCACAGAAAACTCCAAGGAATCGCGCTGCTGTCGGTACCCCCTAGTTGTGAACTTCGAGGAGTTCGGGTGGGACTGGATCATAGCTCCCAAAACATACGACGCGAACTATTGCAGCGGGGAATGCCCCTATAGCTTTCTTCAAAAATATCCTCACACACATCTTGTGCATCTAGCGGCTCCGCAAGGAAGCGGGGGTCCCTGCTGCGCCCCCCGAAGGATGAGTAGTATAACTATGCTGTACTTTGATCACGACTATAATATTATATATGGGACTATCCCCGGTATGGTGGTCGAAAGTTGTGGCTGTTCATAGCAACTGCCGCATTAGAAATTTTTTTGGGCTCCAAGTGACAATTAATCACTAACACAATCTCATTATTATCAGATCTGAGTAAATTGACAAAAAATACTTAATATTCCAAAATTTCGATGGTAACAAGACCCAGTTGTAAACATTTCTTAACACGTTTAGAACTATTTAATATCTTGTTAAATTTACAGAGATTATTCGAAATATTTTGCATAAATACTGAGTTTAACTATTGTCCAAATTCTAATAACACTTAATACTTATAGAGTAATAATGTAATGTGATATCGACTCATATTCTCTATTTTCTTAAACGTTATGTCGTGACAACAAGATACACACATATTTAAAACAAAATTTTAAAAACCTTCGGAGCCCTGAGTGTGGATTCTATAGCTATGTGATATTCGGTTGAAGACTGCAAACCTTTTTGTGTTGTGTGCCGTGAGTGTGAAATATGTACATTTTTTATTTTACGTTTGTGCCTACGTTTAGTTTAATGTACTCAATATAATGAATAGTTTATACGAGGCTAGACCTTAAAATTTTAAACATTTATTTAGGTACTTTCTATATGAAATTAAGTTATGTGTTGATTATATTTTTTGTGCATCTAGCCTCGTAAGAACTACTACCTATGTCTTGTAATATCAAATGTAAGTAGGTATCACCCATTTCCCGTAGTTTTTGTTAAAATCATCTGTGGCATTCTTGACCTGCTTCACAACGGTATCAATGACAGATAACTAATCATTTTATTAGTTATCTACTTGTCGCTATTTATTCATGAACTCTGAATGAAAGCAGCATACGTTTCAATTTTTTTAAATTAATCATTTCAATTTTTCTTCGCCTAAGGTAACCTTTTGACATTTTAATTGCTATTGATAAAAAATTTAATAACAGTTCAAATGATAATAAATATTATAGAAACTTCTTTACGTAGTTTTATCAATGTTTTTACAAAATGACACTTACTACGTAAATAATTTGTCTTAATTTAGACTTAAAAGTTCAGTATCGCATTTTATTACTTTTTATATTACACAGACGTAATTTTTAGTCAATATTAAATATCAAAATGGGATTTTTTTAAAATGAAATTAACACGAGCATTTTGAGTCCATGTTCAATTCGTGCTGACCGGGTTAAAAGTAAAGTTTTGAATAATTTTGACTGTATTTTAGAAATAAAAGCAATACTCGTACTATTTTTAGAATGATATAAAGGATTAAACCATTTAAAATGTTGATGCGATGTGATATACTTAATATTTTTTTAATGCCCAATAGATTTGTATTCACTAGGTGCCTTCATTTCATTTAGTAGGTTTTTGATGTAGTCATAACACATTTTACCATCAAAATTTATTTGTAAGTAGGTAGCTATATGTAATTCGATGTAATGTTCTTCTTTGATATTGTTTGGATCTCGTTCAAAATTATATTTTTATAAGAAAAAATGTCTTTTAGGTTCGAGCGGGTGGTGCTTAAACAATATTTGTTTTATTTATAAAAACATTGAAAATATTATTGTAATGGTACCTACCCTTTAATGTGACGTATTATTTCGGCGTGATCAGATATTTTTGATATATTTTCGTAATGTAAGTATGTTTTAGAAAAATTTTAATGGGCGTAGCATTTTCAAAAATTAGATCTCATTCTAAGGCATCCACCTCCCAGTATGCCTTTATAAAGATCTCCCAAAAATGTTGGATAACAAAATGAAAAGTAAATTTAATTGCTTTTTGTGAGCATTTTAGTGTTAAGTGTATTTTGTGTTAGTAGGTATCTATCAACGTAACTTGATTATTGTCAAAAACACTAACATTTCTCATGTTGATAAGTTTTATAAAATAAATTCTCAATTCTTTTTGACTCGTATTATTTTGTCGGTGTAAAGTCTTTAAGAAATATATGTCTATATGAAACTTTTGTTGTTTGATTTAAAAGATAATACTTTTTTTAACACATGCACATTTGTTGCATTGGCGGACTTATTGCCTAAGGCATTCTCTACCTGTCAACCATTGGATGATGCAGAGAAAATAAGAATAAGTTGCATTTTGGTTGAAATTAGTTCTGTAATATCAAACTAGATAATATATCAAATACACATAATTATATAAATTTATCATACACTAGAACCTATACATATTATATTCATACTTTTTTTTTCACGCGGGGAATGCTTTTCGCACCAAACCCTAAGTTGGGGAAACGCAGGGCGATTGTGAGACTCCCAGAGAACCTGTCAACCCACTAAACCATGCGGCGGCCTACCTCGGCAGTCGGGAGGAGCTCCAGGAACGCATCGGCGGCTCCTGGAGTCCTCTCTGCGGTACCGTGTCTGAGGTACATCCCAGATTGACCGTAGTGAACGGGATAGGCCCTCTCCTGATCCCGCTCTACAGCCTCCTACTGGAGCATAACGTCCTCGGAGAAAAAGACCACGGCTGTCCGTCCCTCACCTCTAGCCAGCATTGCCGCGATCAATGCCGGCGGTGACAGGTTTTGTCCGATCTGTCCGACCAAGAGGAGGGCTGGGCGGAGTCACGGTCGGACCCGCAATGGTGCCATTACCGCCATTTGCCGTTCTGCCTAACCTTGAAACTGGGTAGGTAGGGAGGGAGGTCGCGTCACCTACCGACTGACGCAGGTACTCACTGGGCATGGTTACTTCGGGGAGTACCTAAATCGGATTGGACGTGAGGAGACGGCACAATGCCAGCACTGCGCAGCCGACTGGGACTCAGCCCAGCATACGCTGGAAGACTGCCCCGCGTGGGCGCCTGAACGCGAGGTCCTGTTCGACCAAATCGGACGAGACCTGTTCCCGCCAGCAATCATTGCTGCCATGCTGGCGGGTGAGGAGGGCTAGGGCGCAGTGGTCTCTTTCTGTGAAGCTGTAATGCTCCAGAAAGAGACCGCTGAACGGGATCGGGAGAGGGCCGATCCCGAACGTAGAGGACGACGGCGGCGTTATAAGCCGTCGACGGGGCCGCAGGCTGCCAGAGAGTGGGGACCTCTGGTGGCAGATTAATTGTTGCGGTAGGCGATAGGATGGCGGCCCGATCGCAAGATGCGATTGGGCCACAACACACATAGATAAGGCCGATAGGCGTGGGGAAGCCTGCTTTCCACAGTCGTTCCTCCCTGCCCACGCTTCGAAACTCGGCAGAACGGCTCGATTTCGAGCCGTGCCTGCTACGCCCGCAACGTATGCACGTATAATATTTGTATGTTTTTTACATTAAATTAGAACCTTTTGTAAAACAAACGTGCTTAACATTCAGTTATATATATATATTTTTTTCCATAATGGATGGTCACCTCGCCGTTTCCTACTGCGCTAGTAATGTGGGTTCGATCCCCACATAGGAGAACACTTTGTGTGATCCACAAATTGTTGGTCTGAGTCCGGGTGTTCTTTGTGTCCGTTTGTGTAGGCTTGTAAAGTCACAGGATCTATTCCAAGTATAGGAATTGTATTTTTTTTTAAATGGTAGCTGCATGTTTTTGAGACAGTAGGGCCTGTAGTTATACCATTTCATCAACTCGTCTTATATACTCTAGAAGTCAAAATGCGGGCAGTCCGAAACTACGCCATGGCGTGACCGTCAAAGACTGCACGATGGCGTAGCGTAAGCGGTCGCCACGTCGCTTCCTACTACGCTGAGCGTTGTGGGTTCGATTCCCACATGGAATGACACATTGTGTAATCCACAAATTGTCATGATGAGTCTGGGTGTTCATTGTATCCGTTTCATATATGTTTGTAAAGTCCCCCGCGACACAGGATATATTCCTAGTGCGGGAGTTGTCTTTAAAAAAAAATAGTTTTGCTAGACCTCTTTGGAGCCAGCTTCTCTTTGGAGACCTTTAGAACCTTTTAAACGCCTACGTAAAGCCGTTTACATCCACGACTGAGATGACGATCATGACCGGCGGATTTTCATGTCAGTTTTGAATACACACTCGGTTCCAAAAATTACGGGTCAGTCACAAAAATTGAAATACCTCCAGAACTGTAAAAGTTAGATTAATGAAATAAAAAACAGAATTAAGACTTTTTAGCTGCGCTTCTAATAGCATATTATTTAAACTGGTTGATGAAAAAAACTTCATTAGAACTTTTTAGTTACGCTTCTAATAGCATATTATTTAAACTGGTTGATGAAAAAAACTTCATTAGAAAAACAAAATTTAAAAAAATGACTATTTTTAAAAACAAAATTTTTGTTTCATTTCATTATAGATGCTTTCCATTTCTATTCTGTCACAAAAAAAAATATCGTGAACGTCTTCCACGGGCATAATTATTATTCTGTGAGGTGAAGCATGGCAGTCACGCTAGAGGAATGTACCAAAATCCTAACTTTTTTGGAACTTGGGCGGAGCCAGCGTGAAACAGCCAGAAACATTGGTGTATCTTTGTCGACTGTTCAGCGGGTAGTCCAGCGGTACCAAGAGACCGGATCACACCTTAGAAGACCAGGAAATGGCAGACCAAGATGCACAACGGCCAGGGAAGACAGACAAATGATGGCTGCAATGCTCCGAAATCGTTTTCAAACTGCTGTTGGTCTACAAACTCACTTTATTCGCTTTGGAGGTGGCAATTTAAGCGCTCAAACAGTAAGAAGACGTCTTGCTGAAGCAAATTTGAAACCATTGAGGCCCGCAAATGGCCCCAAACTGGAACGGGGACATCGAATTGCAAGACAGAGATACGTGCGCGAGCACCTAAACTGGACACTAGACGATTGGTCTAGGGTAATGTTCACGGACGAGTCTAAATTCATGCTTTATAAGCATGATGGTAGGCAGTTGGTGTACAGAAGACCAGGGGAGCGCTTCCATCAAGCGTGTGTGGAGGAAAAAGCGGTGTACGGTGGAGGCTCCGTACAAGTTTGGGCTGGGATTTCTACTGAGGCCCGCACCGAGCTGGTACTCATTCAAAATGGAACTCTAAATGCAGAGAGGTACGTGGAAGAGATCCTCAATGAACATGTAGGTCCTTTCATGGCCAGGATGGACCGGCATGGCATATTAATGCATGATAATGCGCGTCCCCATACCGCCAGAATTGTACATGACTACCTTGAAGAGGTCGGTATCGAACTCATGCAGTGGCCAGCGCGAAGCCCGGACTTAAACCCCATCGAGCACGCCTGGGACGAGCTTCAGAGATGCGTGAAAGGTCGAAACCCCCCACCAATCACGCTGCCCGAGCTCAAACAAGCACTGGTGGAGGAATGGGAAGGTATTCCTCAGCACCGGCTCCGAAATTTGGTGTACAGCATGCCTAATCGAAATTTATTTATTAAATATTAAATTCTCAATTGAACAGTCTTCGTTTCATTAGGATGGCATACGTAGTTCGGGAGATATTCGGGTTTATGTGACTGACCCGTTATTTTTGGAACCGAGTTTAGTTTGATAGTAGATAGTATTTTTTAATTTTCTAGGTATAATGCTTATCCGTTTCGGTTATTAGGTAGGTACAATGTATTTGTGTAAGTAACAAAAATTATCTGCTTATTTATTTTTACGAGTATATTGTTGTAATAAGTCGTAAATTCTCATAATAGTGTCATGTGACTGGCGGAATTAAGGTCTTTTTTTAAATTGAAATCCAGTTTCTAAGAGTTCTTAATAATATAATTCTTGGACTAACCTTTTATGTCTTATTAAGTTTAGTGGACAGGGCTTTGCAACATGGTCATAAGAAACCCGAGTTCAGTCTTAACTTCGATAGCTGCAGTCCTGGTAGAAATAACGAGACTTATACACTTGGTAACTGTTGTATTTTAAATTAACTTAGCTCCCAATTCGTCAGCGTCGCAGGCTGCGTGAACTAACATATATTTATTCAATTCTCAATTTCCCATCGTTACCTGATTATCTGGTTCCCCATCTCCATTTCCTATGCTCCAATCATGACCGAAATCTTCGATCAATAAACAATATGCTTCTTCTTTGTCCTCCTCATACTTCGAACTTCATCAATTCTTCCTTCTATGTACAGTCAGTTCTTCTCTGGAATGCACTCACAGTTGAAATCAGGATGTCCACTAACCGCTTTAAGTTCAAGAAAATAGTACAAGATCTTCTCCAAAATGAGTTATCAAAAAAGTCACAACGCTAGTACATCATCATCATCAACAGCCTTTAATAGTCCACTGCTGGACATAGCCCTCTCCTTAGAAAGGAGGTTTTGGCCTACCATACCACGCTGGCCAGACGGGTTGGTATAGGGTTTGTGTCAAGTTTTCCTTCTCTCTGCAGTGCTGTTGTTCTGCGTAGTTTTCTCCCTTAGTCGTCTCTTACGACACCCACGGGATGAATAGGGGTGGTGACACTCTGTATTCTTAATCCGTCACCACACGGACTATTTTGAGATTTATGTATGTGTATGTTTATGTATTGTACGAGTAAACTTGGGACCTCTATTTAAATATGTAGTACTGTATATAGTAGTTTATTTATGTATATTATATCTGAGTTGGAGTTACTTTAAATAAATTAATTAATTTATTTATTTATTTATACTTCCTGCAAATACATTGCATAAGGCGGACTTAATGCCATAGGCAATTTCTTCATAGTCTAAAAGCTAGTTGGCTTTAATTTAACATTATGTTACGACCAGGATCAGAGTAGTGATAACGTGGGTGCAATTGAAATAAAATTTCAAACTCATATGCGCCGTCCTCTCAGAACGGCCCTCTTTATTTTTATAAATTTTAATTTATTTACACATTTCCTTTTTCTACTTTACATTAATGACGTTAACCTTTTAAAATACATTACAAAAACAAAAAAATATATATATTTAACAGAAATACATGACAATGTACACTTACTAATATTTTGACATGGGAAAAAATAGATGGACTAGTATACCCAATTAGAAAAAATAATCGTTCCCCCGAGAAAAATTTATCATTTTTTCCCATTAAAAAAGTATTTTATAAATTTTCGCCAACAAGTATAAACGTTTATAAATTAATTGTATTGTAGGTAAAAAAGGTCGAAAATTTATCAAATACTTCAGTCTAATATATATTGCTTTACATTCAAAATATACATGGAAATCAATGTTGTTATTGTACTTTTATCAATTCTATTAACAAACAATTCCTTATTATAAGGGGCCCATTTCCATTTGACGGTAATAAAGTCTAGGACACACTGACAATACTTATTTTTATCACAAATTTGATTTAACCGCGTCATTCAGTGCAACAGCGATAAATATAACGTTTTCTACAAATGTGTTGAAGTATAAACTACAGAAAAGGATTTTATATATATGATGACAAACAGCTATGACAATGTTTGTCCTAATCCCACACTTTAACTTACACAAAATTTAAGTGATTCATTTAATTATTGATATTAACTTTTTTTTACATAAGAGATAGACGAGCAGTCACATGATGAAAAGTGCCTTTGAAATGGGAGTACACTTTTCTTTAAACTTTTCTTGAAGGTTTAGAGGTCGTATCAGTCCGGAAATACCACATGCGATAAATTGTGTGATCTACAGATTGGTATTTTATTTGGTTCCACAATAAGCTGCATTGGTGTACCCAGTGTGTTCCTCACTTAATGTATCATATAGAAATATGTACTAAAAAACCGTCAAAGAGAAATGGTAGTCTTTAAAATAACAGGTATAGTCATGGCATTAAAGATCTACATTACGTAGAAATTATATTTTTTGTTATTTTTTTATTATTTTTTTAAACGAGTTTACACTAAATTCTAATGTACAGAGAAGTGCACAACATCAAGTGGTGTCAGTCTATAATAGGTTTTGAATGGATGGAATTTCGAAATATTGTAAAATCATACGTTAAAAAGCTGTCACGGACTTATTTGAGAAGCTCCTCAGGCAGTGGGAAAAAAAAAATAATAACCTTATATTTCTCAGTATTAGTACTCAGTCTAATTCATTTATCTGACTGATTTTTAGTTAGATACATAGAAAATAAAATTATTCCAGCACATATTTATATCATCTTTATAGCTAAACATCTTTATGTTTAGTTAAACAGTAGCTTTATGTTTAGTTATGCAATGAGTGAAAGTATTAGAACTAAAATATCGTACTTTCTATTTATGTATTTATAAAATGATAACAATTTATAGATATTAATATTATAATAGATAAGACCATTGAACGGTGTTATAAAATCTTTCTATATCTAAAATAATTAGATGATTTTGTGAGAGATAGAGTCAGTAGCAGGAATGTAGTCAGCAATAAGAGGAGCCCTCAAAACGCATCCATTAGATGTCTAAAATACCAACAAAAAAATCGTATTTCAGTAAAGTGAACTATAAACTGTATATACAGCATACAACAGTACATAATGGCAGTGATACAATAATGGCGACAAGCAACCTTAAAATTAAAAGTTAACAATACGGTATTGTGTTCAACAAAATTGAAATTACTGTGTGATATCCCGCCAGCATCCTAGGCATCTTACCTATAAAGTGCCACATTCTAATAAAAATGCATCGTCTCTGAATAGGACAATATACATTTATAAATATCACAGAATGCGAGAATATCGTTTATTATGTCACTGGTTGATAGTAAATTGTTTAAAATGTCACTGGATATAAAAATATTAAAAATATTTGCCATCTGTGCAATTTTAAAATGAATTAACACCTTGCAGTGTATTTATGTGTAAAATGTAATCGGCTGAACACAATGCCGCACCGAGACATCACAGATATCATATCTATAGTAAGAAACATGTAATGCGACAGAATGCCATGAGTGTAACCGAATAGTAACAGTAAGGTCACGCTGGAAATCTAGTACTATACGCTAACCATATTATATACAAAATTACTATCAATTCTTCCGCAATGAGTACATGTGGTTGCGACAGATTTTTGAGCCATTATATTTAAATAGGATCACAGTGAAAAAAGTGATTTAAATTTAAGTCACTATACTATAATATTATAATGTCCATGTTATGGCAAGTTTTTTCTAAATAAATCTTAAATGTCGCTAAGACTTCTAAGTCTATGTCCATAGAAAAATTCTTTCACTAATATTCTGTACAAGAGTTTCAAAGTCTATGTTCTACCCACACAATCACAAGTTCAATTGCACTGTTTAAAAACTGGGTTGTGAAACAGTCCTAGGGTTACCGCTCTGCGGCTGGTACACGTCGTACGAGTTGTGGGGCTCCAAGTGGCACACCACGTTGTTTTCTCCATTAAGAACAGCTGCCAAAGCCCTCATGTTGTTCTCTTGTGGCTGGTGGTACGGATGCATCAACCTGCCACTCTCGTAATGCCTCTGGTCGTAGCGCTCCAATGTATCCCACTTGCCGTATTTCCCATAATGCTCTTGTTCATGATGGTGTCTCTCTCCAGGACTGTACGAGATCAAAGGACGATGATCCCCAAAAAATTTTGAGCTCGAAGAACCGTGATGTCCTGAATTTTGCCGGCAATTATCAGGTCCAGAATTATCGTCAGACATGTCAGACATCAAGGTCTCATTTCTTTCTATTTCTTCATAAACTGGGTCATCTTGGATCACGCGAAACTCCTGCTCTGATCCGCGTCTATACATTCTGCCCTGCTGGGACGCAATTTCTGAGTACGTATGATTTATATTCTGGCTTCCGTGATGGTGGTGATGCTTCCTGCGATCATCTTTGTATTGTTTACGGAAGATCATCTCTTGGCTTCCAGGTGAATGCTGTGACATGTAGACGTGAGGGTTTCTGAAGTCGTGGTTGTAGCTGCGCGTAGTTTGATAGCCCTGAGGATGATGCAGAGGACTTTCCTCATCTTTAACGACGTGCCGTGGAGATCCCGGTGCTAGCGGAGCGTCACATTCGTAGGGACTGTGGAGGTGGTTCTGTTGAGCCAATTGCCTCGACAGTGTGTCGTGATGCTGTAAGGTGGCCGAATTGCCCGGGTGGTGTTTAGAAGAATTGTTCTGTAAAGTAAGTTCATAATTAGAATATTATTTTTAAGAAGAAGAATAAAGACAGCTCATTTTATGTTTGTCTTACAAATGTTTATTACATCAGGCGGGCACTAAAGAATATAAATTAATGAAACGTTTTGACTACCTATTTAGTGTTAATTAATTATTTTATAAACCTTGGTCTTAACAACGCCAAAATTAAAGTATTAAAACACACTGATATGAGTATCCAAATTTGAATATACAATATTTTTCTTTTTGCTTAGCTGTTTCTTCAATATATATATGCAAAAAAAAATGTACTTAAAAAAAAATGTATTTACCTATGTGTTAAGGTGATATCACTCTAGGTTCGATATCTACAGGGTCTTTTACCAAGAAATGGCCTTTAAAAGTGAGGCGTCTATAACGCTAACGAGACAGGTATTTTCAACCAATGATAAAGGAAGTCAAGAGGGTGGGAAACCGAAAGAATATCACACATGTAAATATAATCGTATAACTTTCTAAAATAAAATTATTAGATCATTGATCGCTAATTAAGACTATAACATTATTTATTCTTTAAAGGAATTTTAAAGGCTAAATACCAGTGATCCTAATAAATAAATATTTAAGATATAATATCTTTATAACGAGTGAGAGTTACAACTACTATGTAAATAATTAAATTACAGGCCTAAGACAATCTACACAATATAACAAATTTTCTGTCTCTTTTTAATATCATTTGTAAGAAAGAGATGAACAAACTTGCACACGTATTAGTGTTAGAAAACTTAGTATATAAAGTGATTGTTAGCTATAAGTTCTATGAGATGTTATGGAAGGAGGTGGGCAGGCTTGGATGACGTCATGCAATGTCCGCTAAGGTTAAACTTCATGCAATTAGATATAAATTTCTTAAATTTAGTAAGATCTCTACCTCGATACACCGCCACCGAATAGGGGATAAATATAAATAACTATAATAAAATATCTGAAAAATAAAATTGTATGTTTTCTCGTGTGGTGACGTCCCCAAATGTTGAGGTACCTGGTGTTGTGAATTCGATTTCCATTTGAGACAATTGTTATAAAGGTTACAATTGTTATAAAATATTTCTCTATTGAAATATTTATGATGATAAAACATCATATACTAAATATGCAGTAAAAACTAATTTATGTGTTATTTTTTATTGTTGAGGTCAACAAATCTTCATATTATCGAGGAAAAATCGACCCACGGTCCGAAATCTCTCTTATCAACTCTCAATGGCGGCAACAATAGATTAAAAACACATAGATCTTACCAAATCGCAGAAAAAATCTACTAAACAAACGAACAATACCAAAAGGTGTATCAACTAAAGCGATTGTACAGCCCACCCCTCACCTTCCAAACGGTTGCATTCGCCATGACAGCCCAGTCGTTCGCGCCAATCGACGCGGCCATCTTGTTTGAAAAACAAGATGGCGACCGCGATCGAAGGTTCTGGTATTCGTTCGGTACTTCGATATTATTTCGATAGCTATGCATTGATGCGATACTTTGAGTGTGTGAAGTTGAATGAGGTATATTCTGAGGAGTAGGTACACGCATAGATCTTGCATCGTCAGCCGGTACGTATATCGGCGCGGTCGGGCGGATGTTCCATCTGGCTCCGTCAGGTTGCAAGCTGTAGCTCTATTTATTAAAGATAAGATATATTACACATATAAAATATAATAATACATAGATACGAAGGATAGACGATAGAATGACTAACTCTGTGATACGCATTTAGAGATAGGATGTTCGTATTTCCAAACTAAATGGTATACCAAATATTAGAGTTTCAGATACCATTTAGAGATGCGGTAAGTATAACCATGACACCACTAAAAGAAAACAATGTTAATACAACTTCGAAATTATTGTTAGTGAAGCGTTAAAAAGGGGGCTTAGAGACAGGATTAAAAAAAAAGAACTTACCGTCGCGAATAAAACATACAGACAAAAAATATGGTTAGTGTTGCCACATAAAAAAAGTTAAATACAAGTAACACAAACATAAAATTGAGCTGTCTTTAACCAATTAGTTACAAAAGCCGTGGTGTCTGGTGGCACTTTTTTTATTTATAAATTTTGGAAATATCCTATCTCTTTATATGTATGCGTACGCACCTTGTTGGCCGTTCTGTCGGTATCCATGGGGATATCTGCCACTGCCGGGATTTATGGGGCTTCTGAGTTGTGTCATTGGGGTTGGTGGTTCTCTTTCGGGCATACTATGGCCAAAGTTAGACGCTGTGGCATTTAAACTTGGGCCAAAGTTAGTCGATGGACCGAAATTTTGGTTCTCTTGAGAGGTACGTCTATTTCTGTTCGAGTGGTAGCTGTGGGCCGCGGCTGCGGTAGCTAACGATGCCACAGTGGCGTTGTTGACAACATTGTTGTTGTTATGGTTGTTGTTGTTGACAACAACATTTAGAGTCTTGATGATTAAGTTGTTGGTTGTTGACGCTGAAGCCGAGGATAAACCGGACGTGCTGGCTGTGTTCTGTTATAAGTTGTAATTGATTTTTATTTCCTCCATTAATAGTTACTAACATTTTTAAAAGGTCACTGCAGTATTAGTGGTGATAAATATTTTTGTGTATGTGTGTTTAATATTAGTAATACCATCACCATTTCACTTAACATTTGTTTTGATAAAATTAAATAATTTTAATTATGGTCCGATGCAAACTTAATGGCGGCTCTGAAGTTAGCTGCGAACACAGGTGCAGGTACCTACAGTCCAGTCGACTCGACTGTAAGTACGTGTACGGACTATACGGACAGGAATTGACAGGACAGGACAGGATGTAACTCTCACACTGAGAGGCATGCGTGTCGTGCGTCGCCCTGCCCCCGCGCTCCTGTACGTCCCGCTGCTGTCTATTATTGTGTTCTGCGCATCGGCATGCACGATGTTCCGAGCCGCCATCAAGTTTGCATCGGACTGTACACAGTAATATTTCCTTAATTTTATGTTAATTTCTGAAAACACATTCTGGAAATACCAAAAAGCACGGAGCACAAATCTCAGAAAAAATGCCCTTACTCCCACGCACGTTTTCCCATACCCACAAGCGTTTAAACCTCACTTGTGACAACCAAAATCAAACTAGCACCTATTGCGAACAAAATCCAACGTATTAAAAATTTGCTGACATCAGCACGGAAATGTTTGTGTCGACAACTGGCAAGCTTTTAGTCTAACATCTTAGTTTAGGTACCTTACATAAATTTTGGTTATCACATATGCAAGAGGCATTATTTAGCAATAAAACTAAATACAATAAACATTTAAAACGAACCGTGACATCTCTCGGATCCACTACATCATCGACATCGGCACCGCTCTGGTGATATCTCCGACTCTTGACAGAGCCTTGGCGAGTGTCTATGTGGTTGGACGAGGAGGCCGTAGGGCCGTTGTTATGCTGAAGTGTCTCTGATGGTTGTCCGGTGAAGTGAAGACAGCAGGAAAGCCAGGGGTGACGGCGGCCGATACGGGCGCATTCGTTGCGGAACTGAAAAGACGTAACTTAGGACATTAAAAACTATTGGTGTGGTGACAGATTAAGAATACGGAATGTCACGACCCCTAATTATCTTGTGGGTGTCGTTAGAGCCGACTAATGAAGCAAACTACGCAGGACAACAGGACTGAAAAGAGATTGAAAACTTGACACAAACCCTAAACCAACCCATCTGTCCAGCGTGGTATAGTAGGCCAAAATCACCTTACTAAGAAGAGGCCTATGTCCAGCAGAGGTATTAAAGGCTGTTGAACATTAAAATTTAATAAAAAAGAAAAAATATTACACTTAGTATTAAGGGCAATGTTCTGTGGGCTCGACAAATTTGATTTAATAATAGCTCAAATTATAATGGCCTTCGAAAAATAATAAATTATCTGGACCATCTTTCAGGAACATCAAAGCTCAGTCGAAGGTCAAAACAAGCTTTTTAATTTCAGCTTGCCAAGAGCTAATAAATGCTGGTAGAAAAAAAAGGGAAATAGAAAAATGAAATGATGGAGATTTCCAAAGACTTACCTTATCATTCTGCAGACAAGTGAAGATGAATATGACAAGTCCTTGTAATGAATTGAGTATAGTGAATGCGTACGCCATTACTACAGTCTGTTCGCTGAGGTACAGGAGACCGAAGGTCCACGTCAAACCCAGGAGGAAGGCCAGGACTAGGGAACTTTTTAGCCACACTCTGAAAACATAAACATTAGAGTGAGTGATCTACAAATATTATAAAAGGAAATCAAAGTAAACACCAGTAATAATAATTGTCATAGATATAGTCTAATTCAAATACATAATAACTACTGAGTTATGTTGATATAGGTACCTGTTGATTACAATTATGTTAGACGTGTATGACAATTTAAAAGAGATTTATCAAAAAAAAACTAACTTCATTTTATACAGCTTGGCGTCATCTTTGGCCTTCAATGATACCGTGGAATGGGTGCACATCATGTAGATCACCATGCCCAGGCAGATCCAGTTAAACTGTAAGAATAAAAATTGTACAAATAAGTGATATTAAGTAGTAGGCCAAACATCATTTTTAAGGAGAGGCCGTGTCCGGGACTATTAAAGACTATGATGATGATGAATGTGAGAGGACTTCTCGGGAATAGCCAGTTCAAGTAAGAGGTGGATTCTAACCAGCTCAAGGAGTTGCATTCAATCCGCTGTACATATAGGCATAGACAACTTTCTCCCTTTTAATTTCATTGCCTTCCCTTATAATCTATCTATATACTCAATTATCAATACAATTTGCATTATCTGGTAGAAGAATGTGGATGTTCCATGCTACATTAAATATCGTACTTACCACGAGAACCAAGCAAGCCGGTCCCACGAAACTCATCATGAACCATCTATCCGTGGTGAGCCAACAGTGGCGGTCTGTGCCATAGCCCCCAGGGTATATCGCTGCGGAGACTAGCACCACCAAGGCTGGGGCCAGGTACGCGAACGTGCAGTACCACCGTGCACGGGGATGTTCAGGCTCGAAGACTTCCACTAGCATTGCGTAGAGGTGTAAACCTGGAAATTAATACCACATACCCTTTAATATATTGAACGTTTTTGCTTAATTAAGTTTTAAATAACGTCATATATGAAAAAGAGATTTTATAATATTGTATTTGTACAAAATAAAATACACACAAAATGGATTGTGTATGCATTACGGAGTGGATAGTGGTGGTTATGTTACACGTATACACCTTTCGGGGATCTTTTCGTTTCTCAAGCCTACTAAACTGTTGAAATAGAATCGTAGGTATAACGTTTACGAACAAAAGGACTGCACATCATTTTGTTTCTGAATCTTTAAGAGGACGAAGCTTTTATTCTCTATCTCTCTCTTTAAAAGAAAACACTCAACAGAACACAGTTATTAATGCTTTTGTGTAAAAGTGGAAATAGAGTAGTAAAAAAGCATACCTTCAAGAAACATCCAGGCAAAGGCCGCCAAAAAGAAGTAATGCAGTACACCAGCGATGAGACCACAGAAGATCCTGTTATATGTCTTGTCAATTCCAGCTAAGAAGACTATCTCGGCAACCAGCAGGCAGAAACAGAGGTTCTTGTGGATTAACGCGCGATCTGATTGCTGAACAAATTAATTAAACATTTATTTAAATGATTATTATAGGTGATTTAGTTACGAATGTCTTACATTTGATAGTAAGGATGTGAATAAATATGATGAAATAAAAGCTATTTATTGTGTTTTGGAAAGTTTTGCCGAGTCCTTGCGTTCTTTTTGTAGTGTTACATCATTGCTTCATTAAAACTTGAATGTTTCTTTTTTTGTATTACATTTTATATGTTTTTAATATAAACAATGTGTTACCTTTCCATTCCTGAAGCACATGAACACGATGATAGCAGCTGCTAAGGCCACGGTGGATATCCCACAACCGATATACGTAAGAGTCTGTAAAGCCAGCTCATGCATAGCGCTCAGGGGTACTCCATGGACGTCCATGAGAATGGCGAAGTTGGTCAGATGCGAGCATGCGCAGCCGGTGTGGGTTGCGTTCGACCACTCCACGTTGCAACCTTCTGGAGACCAGCCGCTGAGAAGAAAGAACAACTAAGTTAGTACTTGCCTTCGTGATAATAAGACGCATGACTCTGTCATGACAGTAACTAATATTAAGCTTTAAAACTACACTTGAAAGTACATATTCGCTTATCAAAAGAGTTGATTGCTACCAAAAATGTACTCATACCTTAACTCAGTCATTCATACTTTATAATTGAGATAATTTTGCCGATGAATATTGAACTTTAATGTTATACATATAAGCAGAGATATTAGTCACTTAAATGTATTGTTAAAAAGCTTCAACATAACAAGCAAAAACTCACTGTAATGTATAGTCCCAGAATACGCAAGCGGGATTAGTGACGTTTTCAGTCATGAGATGCTTCATCGTGATGCGTACTGTTTGTGACAGCTCGATGTGGCGACCGTTGCCTAAACTCGCTGAGATTACCTGTAAGAAGATAATATTCTTCAAGCTTTAGGAACTGCGTGCACAAGCGTAGGAACACTTCAGTGTAGACCCACACAATCTCTTTTCTCTTTTTTGTTTTTTTTTTAAAAAGACAACACCCGCACTATGAATATATCGTGTGTCGCGGGGGACTTTACAAACATACATGAAACGGACACAAAAAACACCCAGACTCAGAACAACAATTTGTGGATCACACAAAGTGTCGTCCCACGTGGAGATCGAACCCACAACACTCAGTAGTAAGGGGCGTGGTGACCGCTTAAACCACTACGCCATTCGTGCAGTCATAACACCTTCGTTAGGCATTTTTACTTATTAGGCTCCTCGACATAATTTTTAAACTTTCAATACTAAGAAATACAAAATGCCAAAAATATAATACACACCTTAGAGTTGATAACCTTGGTGACATTCCTCTTTTCTCTTTCAGAGTTGATGCTGGTGGATGACGATGTCCCGGAGTCGACCATGAACTGAATGAACCTGGGACTTTTGCCGAAAGCCGGTGGTAATATCTCCTCGAGTCGGTCAAAAGCAAAGAATACTATTCGAACTAACTCGTTTTGTCGGTTTTCTGTAAAAAGTAGTTCAATATTCTACAATATTGTCAAACAGATTTGAGTATTTTTACTGGTAATTTTTTTTATACCTTAAATTATTCGAGTTTTATTACTATTTAAAAAATAAAACTCTGCCACTTGTCTGTACTCACACATTATATACTCTGTGATAATCAAATAGTTAGCTCCAGTATAGTCGGCTCAAGATAAATTAACTCAAAAATTACGTACCAAGTAAAGCAGCTTTGGGTATGGTGATGGTGTCTTCCGACCCTTTCCACTGTTCTTGGGCGATGATCGAGGGAAAAGTCTCGTCTTCCACGTTCTTTACTTCTAAAACTCTTACTGACAGACCTTAGAAAAAAAAAAAAATGTTACATTAAGTTCAGTTAATTATAAGTTAAAATGAGAATTCGGGACATGTAGGTAATTAAGCGCTTTCTAGATTTAAATAATAGAAATGATATAATTTTAATAGCTTGATTTATGGGTCCAATGCAAGCATACATTAGTAGATATACAAATATGTGCACTAAGTGGGAATCAAACCCGCGATCACTACGTTGTAGTTGAATCTAATAATATTTTTAGTTATGATATCATTAGTACTGCGGACTGCCCAGACCGAGATGGTTGGCGTTCCTTGGGGAAATCTTCTTTCAGCAGTGGACGGCAATAGGCTGATGATGAAGATATTAGTACTTACAAATATTCTTAACAATTTGTAGGATAGTCTTTTCCTTGGTGATAGCATCAGCTAAAAGGAAGGCATTCTCTTCGAGCTGAGTCAGCAGAGCGCTTGCGGCGCGAGACTGAGCGTCAACATTCAGATCTGCCCACGAAGAACGTTGGGACTCTTCTAGAAGGTTCGATCCTGGAACAAGCAGTATATGGTAAACGTAAAAGTTTTCTTACGAATCTTATGTCAAAATGGTTTAGAATCTGCCTGGCACAAGGCTATTCTCAATATGTGGCGTCAATTTCATAATTTTACTGCCGGCTGAACTCAAATATCATACGTCAGCAGTTGATAGGTGACTTCCGGCCTCCGGCTTAGCTTAGTTCTTAGTTGTACACGAGCTTAGCCGAGAGATGTTTTTCGCAAATATTTATAAAATTGATAAGCTTTTTTATGTAAAAAAAAAAACACATTTTGTTCTAAACATTCCTTTCATCTAGAATGGATATTATCTTTGCATTAAACATCTGGGTAATCAGATTCTACAAAGGCTACGAAATTTGAAATCGACGTGTGTGAATTTGAAAAAGCGACGTTACTCTATAAAAATGTTGAAGATATCCTGTCATCAAGCAATTCCTTGATAAAATAACACTTACCGGTCTTTATAACACCGAGGAGCATATCAGTGACTAAAGCCTCCCTATGCTTTGGATCCTCGAAGGTTCTGACGTTCTGCGACATGCGCTGAGCGAGCTTTTTCATAATACTAGTAGTGGTCATCATATCGCCTCCGTATAGGGTCTTAGAGGATGTTACCTACGAAAAAAAACCCAGTAAGAGTGGAAGAAATTTATCTCTTTTTTAAACCCATTAGTACTCCCACAGTCAAAACTCTGTCGTGTAGCAACCGTTTACCATAGAATGTATGTCAATTAAAAGGTCTGAAATGAGTAAGTCGTTCAAATTATCACAACCTAACCAGCTCTTGTACCCATGGGTTATAATTTATAATTCTTTATGATTCTTTATCTTACCTGTGCCAAGTCATTGCTGATACTGAGTAACGACTCTCCTTCTCTGACCCTGGCTTCTAAGCTGTTCAACCATACTGATCGACACTCGCTCAGATCAGGAGTTTCACCATGCCATTCTGGCACTGAGTCAGCTGGAAAAAATTAAAACGTTTAGAAATGATGTCGTATACCCACAGTTTGAATTAGGATTTTTCATCTATCATCTGAAACATACTCCTTGTATCACCGCAAGACCTTTATATAACCGACCAGGATGAAATATCTAGACAAGTACGAAATTTAGAAAAAGTATACACCTTATTTGTATAGGTGTCATTCCGTGTATATCTAATTCCATTTCATACATTATGTAAATATATGTAAAGGACATTATGTTATGTCCACCATTTACGAGATATGATTTTATTCCAAAAATTGAAAGTAAATTATTGCCTAGTTATTTTGTCGGTAATAAACTTACTATAAATAAATTCACTATTGAGCTGATTGTGGTTGTTCGGTGAGTCTGAAGAACCCATAGAGCTTCGATAATCGATTATGTGATCCATAAAATCGCCATCACGACCTAAAAATCACCGTTAAATTAGAGCTAATTATTTCACAGTGAAAACAATGTGCAATTGCATTTTAAAGCACAAAAACTGAAGTACAGCACGTAAGATCAGTAGGGATGGTGACAAGTTTACGCATTGGTCTAGTTCCCTCATATTTTCCTTACCTTTAAGCAAAGCTTCAGAGCCCAGTCTTCTAATAAGTTCAATTTGCTTATCAGTTGGTTCCAATCCGAGATCGTGGTAGTTCTCCCCTGAAGGTAGACCCGTGCCACGTCGTCTGGGACGTTCTTCCTCTATGTATTGGTGAACTGTTAGAATACACCTGTAAAGAGAATTGTAATTTAGAAAAATAGCACTAGTACAGAGAACAAATTGATATTATTTAACAAAATACGTACTACAAGGAATACAATTAGAAATTCTATAATAAGAAAGTGTATCTAACTGTTAAATGGAAATAAATTTGATTCAACTAATACAGAAGGATGATCTTGATAGGATAAATTGCATTTGGAAGGTGATCGATACCATAAATTATAATCTGCCTTAAAAATATTTACGTAGAGCTGCTTTTATCCTGGACAATTGGAATACTCCTAATATTAAGTTTGTTAAGTGACACGATACAATGCCTGAGTAACGGGCGTACGTAGGCGTAAGGCGTCTGCCTTTTAAATATGAATTTACGGGTCTGCAAGACATTAAAAAATTAATTACTGAATGATAACACTTACTTCCACCTAGCCAAGCCAGTTGCTCCTCCGGGACAAGGCTGGACAGCATAAGTATTCGCCAACGTCCAGTTCCAATTGAGGCCTCTTGCGGTCACTTGTGGGCAGAAAGCTCGACGTCCTATATTCGGTATAGAACTGGTTGCTGTAAAATAAGATTTTCAATAAATAGATTTCGGTTTAAAATATGAAGTGAAGAGGGTTCCTTTTGAAAAAGTTAAAAGTTACCTATTGACTTATGCTTTTTAAGGTTTTTCTTTCATCTCTTGTTAACCTATCACAATTTAGCTCATTTATATCAAACTTAAAGAGAAACTTACAAAAAGTTCTATCAAAGTCGTCAATGATGTCTGGATCTGGTCTGATGTCCTTCGGAGGTGATGGTGTAGGTTGCATGTCTTCATCTTTCGCTGGCCATTCTAAGGTGCCCTCCGTTATTACTGAAATAAATGTCAATAGTTTAATTACGTATTCACCTCATATTTAAGTTTCATTTTTACCAAATCTGGGGCACTATTGAATATAAGCCTTATTCAAATTTAAAGATATCTTACCCGGTTCTTCTTCTTTTGGTTTGTCACTCTTTGGACTGTGCTCCGGCTCCACAACCTTCGGCACTTCTTCTTTGACTTCAGGTACAGTTTCTCTGGGGATCTGGGGCAGTCCTCTTTCTGATGACGTATCCGGTTGTCGAGTTGTGATCTTCTGGTAAAGATATAGATTAGAAAACTGTTCTGTGGTACACGTAGAAATAGTAAAAAGTAAGGATTTTCGATATAAATCTAAAAACTTGGCTTTGTTGCATTATCAAATATTGACTGATTCGGAAAGGAATCTTATATGTTGTAATTAAAATTGTGAAATTGCAACCATAATGGAAAATACTAACCAAATCATGCCTAAAAGGTCAAATACCTTTGTATGTAGTGTTAACTGTTTTTATTTAGCGTTAAATAGTCACACTAAATACATCTGCTTAAGGTTAACTATAAATATATATTTAAAGCGATTATAAGTAATGTAATCATTATTTTTAATATGGCCAAAAGTTAAATAGAGTTCTCCTTGATATTGACATGTACCTACACATATTATGCATCTGATTTTAGATTCTTGTAGAATTATGCTAAAGAAAACTCTTTAAAACTGTACCTTGATTACAACATCTCCAAGTCGTACTTCAGGAGGTAAGGTAATATGTGGCCTGAATGTCGGCGGTGTGATCACAGTCGGCTTCTTCCTTTCGTTCTGTTGAGTCTGCACTGGATTTTTAGGTACCGGCGGAACTGTGGACCTCCACACTGTTGGTTGTGATGTGATGAGCCATGGAGGTGATGGCCGGTTGGTTGTACTTGATGTCGACGCTGGAATTATACATACAATATTAATTATCAAAAAAAAATTACTTTAAAAATTTAAAGGTTAATAAGTTCGTAAAAGACTGCCTAATGAAAAGCATTCTCCATAAGTTATACTTATAAAAGATGGCGATCCGAATCACTAATATATTAGAAACGGATTCATCAATATATTTTAAATACATGTAATTTTCACTTTACTATTATTCAATTAAGTTCTTTAATTTATAATAATTATTAAGAATCAGTTAAAATTTGTTAAATAACGTTCGGTAATTATATTCTAGGACATGTTAGAAAATTCTCAAAGAATTTTAGAGTTGGTTCAGTACTAAAAACTTACCTGGCACACATTGATAATGCGCTTCGAGATATTTCAGTGTGTTGGGACATGGATCGCCGAACATGTTCGTACTCGCCAATATACTGCAGTTCTGGTGCATGCTACATCTGAAAAAATAAAATATTTTTTTATAATACAACCGGTTAAGGAAACCGTGAGGTGACTTTTGAATACATTTGGGTAACCATATAAGTAGTTGTAGCCGAGTACTCCACACATTTATGTCTCACTCACGTCAACTGTAAAAAGATTGGTACAAAATTGGAAGATTTAAGGATGTGTAAATTCCTTACAGGCTTTTAGCAATCATTTCATTTCTTCGTGAACAATTGAGCCGTGGGAAAAGATTAATTAGATCAGATTCAAAAACATAGTCATTCTTTTCTTTAAAATAATAAAAACAAGATAAAATGCCCTCTTTTCATAAGTTTGCCTTCATTTCAAGTTAAGAAAATCTGCCTAGTTTTTCATAATTAGTAGTCCTTAATTCAAACATGGTCCTTGGCGCAAATATGAATGCGTAAAAAGTTTTGAAAAAGGAAACTGTTAATAACATGTTTACTTTGAGCTGGCTGCGGAATGTTGCCATATACCTAGCAGATTTTGCTTGACTAAGGAATAGGACGTCAAACTGAGCAAACATAATTTATGACAAACAATTTGACTAAGTTTTGCACATGACGCTACAATCAATTTTGCGATCATTTGCGTGAGTTAGAGGGGTCGCGTCCGTGCACTTTATTGGCAATCTCGCGTTTAACGAGATCAACGCGCGAGAATATTTAATTTTCGGCAATTTTCAGCACTTTCCGGACAGCCTCGGGATAACGATTTGTGATTATCGTCATGTTTATGTTAGGTATCTTTGGTTAAATTACTTTAGAAATTGAATTTTTATTTTAAAACACTCGTAAAAATGCTAGGAAAAGGTTTTCTTTTTATGTTTTCACACTCCATTCCCTACGTTCATTTTTTTCCTCTCGTAACTAATTATTTCTAATCATATTCAAAGAGAGGAATGAGGTTGATGGCTCGCACGCAACACCCCATGCGGAGTACATAAACGTCGGTAACCGCGGTGTAGGTCGTGAGCATATTTGCCACTTTAGTCGTCACTTCATCTTATTACCTTTTATCATTCCTATTATATAACTTTTGTGACAGTCTTTACAGACTAACCTACTATACGTGTCGACAACACGAGCTACAAAAACAAGTAATATGTACTTTAAATTGAAATATGAAGGGGAACAGAGCAATAAATAGGAAAAGAGAGAAATAATAAATTAAGTCCATTGAATATCCAACATCCATATCACCGTCTAACATTAAACAAATAGGACCTTGTCCAGTTATCGTATAGTGAGAGACAGAAGATGTAAAAACTTCACAAGCAATATGAAACGGAGCTATGGATTCCCGCCTTATTTTATGACTCCTTATGTCGTCTATATTTATCACAGACTTTAATAGTTATTTTCGGTAATTCACTTAGTGAGCCGTATTTAAGGTTATCTGTTGTTTTATGTAAAGCTAAGCTAATGATAGCTCTATCAGTATTTTGTCTAAGATTTCTACAGCTTATAAACCAGACAGGTGGCGCCTTAAGTAACCAAACCTAAATTGATTATTTCATTATTGCTATAAGTATCAAGTTAATGTAAATGGAGAAAATGACATTCAAATATGCATTTTTAATACTTAAAATATACTGCTTTACTTAAAACTTAAAATATATTCAAAGCAGTAAACGTCACACTTTTGTAATATAAGTGTTTTGTACTTATTAAGAAAAGCGTTAAAGTTTCGCTGCTATCATTTACGAAGCAAGTTATTTTCTAAGGTTCTTGGGTACATCACACAACTTCAGTTGCAACAAGAAGTACTTATTTGATTTATAAAATTCTGGCTTAAAACAAGAATATTAGGTTTATAATGTAGGCTGCACGGATGGCGTAGTGGTTTGAACGGACGCCACGCCGCTTCCTACTAAGTGTTAGGGGTTCAAGTCCCACATGGGACGACACTTTGTGTGTACCACAAATTGTTGTTCTGAGTCTGGGTGTTCTTTGTGTCCGTTTCATGTATGTTTGCAAAGTTCCCCCGCGACACGGTATATATTACCAATGCGGGCGTTGTCATTTAAAATAAAAATAAAAAATGTACGATTTTAAGACTCAGTACTCTATAAGAATGGCAATTTTATTAATAAACTAATTAATGCTATAGGTCGTAATTTTTTGTTGAACAACAAGCTATTCTTATATGCGTTTTTAAATAAATAAATAGAACTTATGAACGCCTCTTTCAGTGCTTGTGGATCGAAATAATTCAAAATGTGACTAGTTCTCTAATAAATTATCTGTGCAAGATACAGATATCGACAAACTTTATATTAAACTTAGTTGAGACTTATCTCATACTGGAATGCCTCATATTCTTCTGAATTCTTCTCAAAATACTTAAGTACTTTATCAATAGTGATATTATATTCAATGTGACAAGGGACTCTGGCTTTGAATTCAAAATAGCAGCGAAAACACCAAAACCGCACTGTTATACAGAAGAAATATCTTTGACAAAGGCATTAGAAATTTAACCAGCTTAATATAAAACCGCAGAATCAAATTACGCGATAACTGACTTGAGCTGATCTATAAACTGATTTTGGTTAAAAATACCACAATTGTTTACGTTTACTGAGAATTTCACAACATTATACGCAGATGGAATCTTAATAATATATACTTATGTACTTACATATTTTTATTCTGAATAGATAATTTATATTATTCTCTTAATATATAATGTACTTACGCATTTTTATTCTGACGAATTCGACGTTAAATTTATAAAATACAGCTCCGTCGAATGTAGAAAAAGTAATAAATATTTATTTAATGGTAACACTAAAGCTCTTCAATTGTCAATTACGTTAAAAAATAGTTAACAAATAGAGACGATTAAAGTTCTTAATCGATTTTCGTAATTAAAAATGCGAATTTTATTTTTATGTTGTTTTTTTTATTAACAAATAGACATAAGACTATATAGTAAGAAGTCTATGAATGACTTTGAAAATCGCATGAGATTTTAGATTACGTTCAAACGCAGTCTCTCAGACATAACAGGATTTTAACAAGGAAGACATCTATCGAATAGGGCATTGATGCATGTTAAATATTATAAGGGGAAGAAGAAAAACCCATAAGGCTTTTAGGCTTATACGATGATACATATTTTTTCCTAAATCTATGTAAGAATTCGTGCGTAGTGTGAGTAGGATTATGATTTATATGATTTAAATTTATTCAAAATGCTTTTAATTAATATTTAAACAAAATTAAGTTGTTTAATAACTGGTAGATTCATTATTTTACACATAAATAAACACGCTAAATATCTTTTAGCAGGTTCCATATAAAATGGACTTTTATTCAGCTATCGTTGTTTAAAATATAAAATGTGGATCAGTAGAACATGAGTCTGATATCTTATTAAATCTATACTAATATAAAAAAGCTTTAAAGAATTTTAAGTATGTTTAAAGAAGTTAATCTTTGGAACTTACGGTCAGATTTCAAAAATTCCTCTTGTATTAGATAGAGTATTTATTAAAGAAGGTTAAGGCTGTGTAACATCAAGCTATGAGCCCTAGGAGCAGAGCTGTGACTATAAATACAGATAAATCGGGTATATAATATTAGAAAATATTTTTTTTTGCTTATCTATAGATTACGTTACGTTACGTACCTGCTATGTAGAACTCTTAAGCTCTTCGTTGACATACAGTTGACACTCCAGTCAGTATTGCCATGGTCATTGCATATTGTGATTGAGAATCTTCCATAGTTAGCTCTGATGAGGTGAATAACAGAACCTTCTCTGCAACCGATTTTCAAGGTTTTGCCTTCGCACGCGTACGCGGTTTCATAACGTGGTTCTGTGGACAAAAAGGAAAATGATTATTGTATGGTATTGGTTATGTTGGTGGTTTTTGCTTTTTTTTGTTGTTATTGCCTGGTTGATTTTCCAATATTACGTATGAACATTTTGTTTTGTATTTAGTTTAGAATTAAAATACTGATTTGTAGTTCTTGGGGATTGTGGTAAAACTACGTTGATGGCGACCCCGTAAGTTTTTCTAACCTTTTTATTTGGAAAAATCTCTTCGATCTGTAGTCTGAGATACCGTTTGCTTTAAGTCAACAACTGAAATATACGTTCGCCGGTAGTACTCGAAGGTTTGTATTAGGATACATAGTATGAATTAAAAATGGTATTTTTTATTAGTACGCTAAACATATTACTTTCCATTCAATTATAAAACATTAAATATTGATTTTGTCACCGGTCATTTATACTCAAAATTCTATATCATGCTTAAATTCCCATATTTTACTTAACGGCTCATTTAGGCAGTAAATTTTAATAAAACCGCCATTTTTGGTCCACATTCGATTTGGCTTTGTCCGTATGATATTTATTGCGAGGACATTGAGCTTTCCCGGTAATCTGTAGCGACAATAAATTGTGCTGGCAACTTTTTTGATTAATAACCCACATATTCGTACAATTATTGCGGAAGTGATGTATGAATCGGAGGTATCTTGTGTAATATCTACGTCGAAACGAAAGATCTGTGGACCTTTTATGTTGATAAATATTGGCTGTTATAACATTAGTTAGGAAGCTAACGTCTGTCCTCTGGTATCCGATTAACAGAACTTGTATAGAGCTAAAATTGGCGCGATAAACAAGCTAGTTACGTCCCTGGTTCCCCGGCTACTGATACCCGAGACGGCTTGCAGTTTTTGGTCGGTTCGAGTTCTAAATAGCCACCGGTGGGTGGTATCCGAGGGAATTTCCGTACCGAAAAAAAATGGGTATTAGAGTTGAAACTAGTTGAACATGTCCGAACTATAAAAGTCATTAAAACCATTAATAAGTTATAAATTTGAATGCTACTCACGAAAGCTTTTATTCTAAAGTTATATGATATATCCACATTCATTATTTAAAAAATCAAGTAGCCATTAAGACATCTGTATGGCATTAATTTAAAAAAATTCAATCTTGGGCAGAGGGCTGCTCTAATAAATTACTTTAACAATTCGCCCAAACATTTATCCCTGAAACGCTAAACAAACACAAGAAAAAAAAAACCGCTTATTAATAAATTTAATTAAAGAGATCGGGCGTTTCATCAGCTCGTATCCTTGGATCGTTACGCTACGAAACCATTTATCTAAAAGGGAACACCTCGAAGACAATACAAAAACTGTCTACTCAACATTTCGGAAAAACAAACTTACCGTTACCGCTTTTATTCGTCTCACAAAAATTTTCTTCTGACTAAAGCAGCGATTGATGCTACACAGATTTTATCGCCCGTTGAATAGGGTAGCTGTGCATATTGTGAGTATCGCATATAATAAATCTGGCCAAATTAATGACGGTACTGACAGATCGTTTAAAGGTTTTGCTAGTCATACCGCGAAATGAGCAACTGTGTATAATGGAGTAAGTTTACTAGGGTTATTTTTGTTTTAGATTTGTACGAGGGTAATATTCCAATAGGTATTAATAACATCATATATGTACAGGTCCAATGACAAAGCGTTCGGTATCAGTGGCTGATGTTTTTTGTCAGTGATTTGCCACATATCATTGATATGTGGGTAATACGTGTTAGTCTATTTATTGCTATAGACTTTCCTCGAGTCGGTTGTCTTTGGTCGGTTGAGTTCCGATTTATCACGTCACGTTTAGGATGATTTTACTACATATCTAAAAAGTCAGATAATTGAATTTACATTTAAATAACATCGTTGTGTTAATTCAAAATAAACAAGACTTACTTGTGTCTAAAAATATATAGAATAATATAAATAATGCATAGAATTAATAATTGCAAATATTAATCGATTAATTACAGTGCAATTTCTATTTCTATGGCATTACACAATTTATATCGTTACTGTAACTGAAATAAACGTTTTAATAACTGCTATTTGTAACGAACGAAAGAAAATATTTAAATCAGTATCATATTATATAATTAGAGTGAAACAGAGACATAATTATAGGTTCAAAGAATTGTTTAGTAGCAGCCTTTGATCACTTTAATAGCTAATACATTTAGTGACTAGTGATTCATACACGGCTTCGTTTCAAATCATTGGTGTGGGCTAGACATATTCGAGTGGTATCAATTTAATATTGACAAAGGCCTTTTAAGTCACTTAATTAACAGTTTCAATAGTCATAACATACTGTCTGCACAAATAATTGTATATTGAACATTAACAATAAATGTCTAAAGTATTATACAAGTCTACTCATAAAAGTTATAACAGTAGGTCCAGTTACGTATTAGTTTAGTATTATTGTCTTAGTTTTAATGATTAAAATAATGCAGCTACCTTTTTAAAAGTACAGCAATGATACTTTCTACTAAATATTATTCATTCTTATAAAAAGTTGGTACACGTAAAACAACTAATACGGTATTTTGAAAGTTTTAAATGAGAACTTGTGTTAATCAATGGGGGTCGACGATTTCTAAAATCAGTTTTTGTTTATGTCGACCCCCGGGAAACCGATTTCGACCCCACTTTGGGAATTCCTGTACTAAGCCCACAAGCCACTCACATATATGTACCTATTAAATACGGTAAGTAGATTCTGTCACTCTACCCACAAAACATCAAGAAAAACAAAACAATTTCCTGTCTCACTTATTATCGATAAAATAGAATGAGATACACACTACCTATTTTAAATCCCTAGAAAAAGCCGGTGTGTATCGTGGGCAAAATTGTTAGTCACCCCCTTAATCGTAGGGCTCGAGGGTGGATAATAAAAATGATTTATATGAGACGTCCAGTGCCCACTCGTTAGGGGATGAAAACAATTTACAAGTAGCCCTTGGTGGATGACGGTGTGTTTTTGGAGTTCTGCAGAAAAAATGTGTTGGTGAGGTCTGGCATACTGTTTATTTTAGTGCTACATATATATACGTTTAGATGCCTAAAAAGGCTAGGTGATAAAATAATTTCTTAGCAAAAGTAATGCGGATGAATAAAATTGTGGGATAGTTCGTCGTAAATTACCTGAATATAAACCATGATACTTATATGAATACATCTAGGCTTGAAATTACATAATAATAATAATTACTTTATACACCTCACATACGGCCATCTGATTTTTAAGTAGGCAGAGCTTGTACTATTATAACCTGACAGCTAATAAATACTTATATATTGTTAAATACATACACACTCAAACACAGAAGAAATGACTAACACGCACACACTGACAGCCTTAGTTACGGGTTGGAATTGTACCCAACAGAGCTGTCAAATGCTGTCTTTATATTTTTGAAACACGTTGAATACAAAACTATTAATTAGTAAACGTTTTGTACCGAGGTTTCAACATTAATATTCAACCTCTTTTGTATCAGTGGGTGTATTGTGGTAACACCCTTATTTCTGACACACTCAACATTTAAACACATAAACACACACATACATAATAATTACGTCCCTACATTACAATTCCTTTTTCAAATTCTGTAATTATCTAGGTATGTTAACAAAGTTAGGCGTGCCAAGAATGAATATATAATATACCTTATTCTCTTGTGTTAAGATTTCAATTTGGTTCAACGTTGTATATTTTAAAACGGTTTTGTACCAGTGGGACCTTGTTAGGGAAACATGTAAATGTCATTTGAAAGTGACGGGTCTTGAATTTCTGACTATTTCTATGGAATAACTGGGAATTAAGGATGTACATACATGTATGTTTACTTAGTAAAGGAGTTAGGAATAATCTTTGAAACTAAGTGAGCACATTGTGGCTTAAATTAACTTGCTAACCTACATATAAGTAAGTATATATATATATATTATATAAAGTGAAATGAATACTTGCTTTCTCGTCTACTGACTAAGCACGAAATCTGGAAACTACCTGAGTAGTAGCTTCAGCTAAAAACGGATTTCAGACAAAGAACCAAAGCAAATTTGTATTAAAATTAGTTTGTTTTTTTTGTACCTACTTGAGAACTGAAATTTGGCGGGGAGGTAGTTCAAGTCTACCATTTTTAGCTGGCATGACTTATCATGTTGGCTAAAAATGGGCTGTCCAAGAGGGCTTAAGGAGGTGTAAGGGCTCTTGCAAGTCCTTGATTTTTGTACTAGAAGAGGTATGAAATACGACATCAGATGGTCAACAGATATTTGTTTTTTTCGGGTTTTCTTTGATTTTATCTTAAATCCAAAAGTGGTATTGAGCAACTACGTAATTTACAGGTAGAATATCATCTATAACGTTATATTAAGTAACTATATACATTGCCTTAAAACTACTGCAGAAATCTAGTTTGCTATTTTTTGTCGCTGCTTAATATAATATACTAATTTGAAGAATTTTGTATCAGTTAGTATTTTAAGCGAACGTAGTCATTAGTGAAGTCGGTAGTTTTTTTTTAACTAAAAATACTATACAAATACAAGTTAATTATCTTTAAGTACATGATGTGAAATCCTTATCCGAAAGTATTACCAACAGCGCCATAATTTAATTATACTATGATATCAATTTATGTCTCAACCTCATTCATACAAAGGATATATCAAATATCATCATTATGTTCCGCGAATCCCTTTGACAGATGAATTAAGTGCACATCCAAATATTACGTGTCTTTCACCACTATAACTGTCATTTGATATTCGGTAGCCCAAGCGAACACACGTCCCGAACATACACATTAAACAAAAAGATACAATATTTTCAGGGCAACAGAGTCGAAAATTTATTTGTTAATTAATATCTGGTTTGGATGCAGCAGTATTGGTTTCCTGGTAAATTTAATTCAGTACGTCATTAATCGAGATCCACGTTGGTTATACTGAGGGATTATGTGGAATTTTATTAACTGAATATCTGGATGGTGAATGTATTTGGGGTGGAAATTGTATTTGAGAGTACAATTTTCTGTTCATAATTCAAATTGTTATAAATTTAGAGGGTTAAT